GGAGGTTGCAGTGAGCCGAGATTGCACCACTGCACTCCAGCTTGGGCAATAAGAGTGAAACCCTGTCTCAAAAAAAAAAAAAAAAAGCAAAGCAGTACTTAAAAAAACTTTTTTTCAAGACAGAGTCTCGCTCTGTTGCTCAGGCTAGAGGGCAGTGGCACGATCACAGCTCACTGTGGCCTCGACCTGTTGGGCTCATGATCCTCCCACCTCAGCCTCCCAAGAAGCTGGTACTAAAGGTGCGCACCACCAAGCCTGGCTAAATTTTTGTATTTTTTGTAGAGATGGGATTTGAATGTGTTGCCCAGGCGGGTCTCAAAACTCCTGGGCACAAGCAATCCACCCACGCTGGCCTCCCAAAGTGCTGGGATTACAGGTGTGAGCCACTGTGCTGGCCTCTTAGTTTTCAAAATTCTTGACAGTAATTCACAGAAGGACATATATTTTATATAATCATCTTCTACACATACACACATTCATGTAACTGAGTTTCATGAAACATACTATGTAGAAAAATAAAAACCTAATTGCAAATATAATTTTATTAACATTTAAATACAATATACTGCAAAATCCCTTTAAAAGTACAGATATATATATTTTTTTGTTTTGTTTTTGAGATGGAGTCTCACTCTGTTGCCCAGGCTGGAATGCAGTGGGATTATCTCAGCTCACTGCAATCTCTGGTTTAAGAGATTCTCCTGCCTTAGGCACCCAGGTAACAGGGATTGCAGCCATGTACCACCACGCCTGGCTAAGTTTTGTATTTTTAGTAGAGATGGGGTTTCACCATGTTGGCCAGGCTAGTCTCGAACTCCCGATCTCAAGTGATCTGCCCACCTCCGTCTCCCCAGTGCTGGGATTACAGGCGTAAGCCACCACACCCGACTAAACACAGAATTTTGTAAAGATTTTATTTAATGTGATGGGTGTGCTTGTCTGTTCATAAGTTCCTTCCAGTCAGGAACACATGAAGATAATGCTACCCGCATGTCCGGTGCACTGTTGAGCCTATTTCTCTTCTTTGTTTTTAATCGTGTCAAGATTGAAAATCCTAGTTCACACAAATAAGTAGTTGTGAATGGTAGTAACAGCGATATACTCTTCCTACTTAGCAGTGGAAATTCATCTTTAATCTTAATCCAAAATGCTGATAAACTTAATGTCTTATAATAATTCTTTAGTGTGAATGATGAACTGAGCTGCAATAATTCATTCTCTTCTTCAGGCTCCAAGTTTAACTTAATTATTGATGCTGGGTTTTGAAAAGCAAATGGATCTTTCATCCAAATATTTTCCTTTAATGATTCAAATTTCTCTTCTGGAAAGTAATAATTAAAAGTTTGAGACAAAGAAGTGAGATGCAACAATATCTCTAATTTTATTTCTTTTAAGCAGTCTTCGTTAATAATGTTCTCTTCGATGTGTTGCAATAATGTTGGAAACATATAGTAGCTAGGGCGGTTACTTTTAAGTCTTGCTTGCCAAAATAATAATGTCTTTTGGAATCCTAGAATATGTTCAAGATACTGAAATATATCATTGTTTTTCCCCTGTATTTTCAGGTTTAATTCATTAAGAATGCCAAAAATATCACTTAAATATGCCAATTTGGTTACCCAAATGTCGTTTTCAAAAATATTTGCCAAATGAGATTGCTTTTCAATGAGAAAAATGTAAATCTCATTCCTGAGTTCATATACTCTGCTCAATACCTTTCCTTGAGAAAGCCAACGAACTTCTGTATGAAACAATAAGTGGGTATGGTTAACTCCAATCTCTGAACAAAGTATTTCGAGAAGTCGGCTATTCAGTGAGCTTCCTTTAATAAAATTAACAATTTTCACTGCCTTTTTCAATACATCCATTAGACTTGGTGAAATTTCTTTGGATACCAAAGCTTCTCGATGAATAAAACAGTGATTCCAAAGAGCATTGTTGTGGGTTGCTTCTAACAATTTTTCAGTAAGTCTGCTGTGTTTTCCGGTCATATTGGCTGCTCCATCACTTGAAATTCCTTTACAATGTTTCCAGTTTAATTTATACTGACCAACAATGCAGTTTTCTAATTCAGTAAATAAATCTAATCCAGTTATATGTGAATTTAAATTTAAACAACATAAGAGATCCTCTACGAAATCATCTTGCCACACATATCTGACATAGACCAAGAGTGTGGGACAACTTGCAATATCAGTGCTCTCATCAAGCTGGATTGCAAAGTCTATACCAGACTGCAGCCGTGTAATAAGCATTGCTTCCAAATGTTTTGCAATCGTACAAATTCGACGAGATATTGTATTATCACTAAGAGGTATAGTTCTTAGTTTATCAGCTGATTTGTCATCAAAAATTGTCCGTACCATGTCCATACATGCTGGAAGGATAATTTTTTCAGCCGCCGTGTGAGCCATTTTCTCCTTTGCCACTCTATATGCAACTAAATATGATGATAATAAGGCTCTCTCATTCATGGTTGTAGAGCGACTGAGAACTTGTGGCGATGACTCTACTTTGTTTCTTTGCTTTTGAAAATGGTCTTCTTCATCTTCCTCCTCCACCTTCACTACCACGATGCCTTCCATCTCCTGGGTACCCCGTGGAGACAAATCTGTAGTATCCCTTGATTCAGGAGTCATTATTCAGGTTCCAGGAACTGGCTCACTTGATCCAAATAGCGTCTGTTTTGCAGGGCTGTCCTTTGTGACCTAGGTTTTATGAGATCAGGTTTTGCTATCCTGCAAGGTAGAAAAACGTAACAGCAGTATTAAAAAGCAACATGGTATGGCTGGGCTGCTAACAACTCATACAAAACAATTCACTAAATGTAGTTGTGTGACATGGTAAATGATGAGCAACTGTCATTCATGTTGTCTGTGTGTGTCAGGGAGATTTGGCATACTATATACACCACTCATTTAATACCCAGGGAAACCTAATGAAGTTCACATAATTACTATTCTTATAGATGAAAAATAAAACTTCAGTTGGATTTGAGTGCTAGTTCTGTACTTACTGTGGGTTGTTAGACACATTTAATCTTTCTGAAGTTTTATTTTTCATCTATAATATAAGAATAGTAATTATGTGAACTTCATTAAGTGTCCTAAATGTGCTGCTACACTGCCAACTCTAAAAAGTGATCTGGTCATTCTTTTTTTTTGAGACGGAGTGTCACTCTTGTTGCCCAGGCTGGAGTGCAATGACGTGATCTCGGCTCATGGCAACCTCTGCCTCCCAGGTTCAAGTGATTCTCCTGCCTCTGCCTCCCAAATAGCTGGAATTACAGGCCATGTGCCACCACACCTGTCTAATTTTGTATTTTTAGTAGAGATGGGGTTTCTCCATGTTGGTCAGGACTGGTCTTGAACTCCTGACCTCAGATGATCCACCTGCCTCAGCCTCCCAAAGTGCTGGGATTACAGGGGCATAAGTCACTGTGCCTGGCTGATCTGGTCACTCTTAAAAATGATCATCAAAGTAGGGTATACAATATGATCCACTGGGGCATAGGGAAAAAAATTAGAACTTGTATTTATTTCTTAAAAATAAGAAATTAAGCTGTATTATTAGTATTATGAATACTGAAACATGTTCATGTTACATAGATCCATGAATTATTCTGGAGAGAGAATGAGATTTCTACAACACACGGGATTGAGAAAACACCCTCATTTGTTTGTTTGCTTTTAGTACACTGCAATATTTCACCATTCATGTGAGCTTAGTGGATTTAAAGATACTGCCTGACTTTACTAAACGAGCCCCATTTTTTCTTCTCCTTTTTGAGACGGAGTCTTGGTCTGTCGCCCAGGCTCGAGCGCAGTGGCACAATCCTGGCTCACTGCAACCTCTGCCTTCTGGGTGCAAGTGATTCTCCTGCCTTGGCCTCCTGAGTAGCTGGGATTACAGGCGCCCGCCACCATGCCCAGCTAATTTTTTTTTTTTTTAGTAGAGACAGGATTTCACCATGTTGGCCAGGCTGGTCTCGAACTCCTGACCTCGTGATCCATCCGCCTTGGCCTCCCAAAGTGCTGGGATTACAAGCGATAGCCACTGCACCTGGACAACGAACCCCATCTTTTCTTTGGTACCACTCAGCCTCTCAAAAATGCAAGTAACTTTCTGTATGTTGGTGGCACAACTGGAAATGAACATGGGGCAGTAGGTTTTGCCTAGCTGAATGTTAAATTCAGGCTACCAGTGAATCCCAAAATTGGAAGAGACCTTGAGATAATCTATTTTACTTAGGACACGTTTGAGACTTGGTGGGTCTATGTGTTCCACCCAAGAACATCAATGGCAGAACTGGTACCATTCGCCAATGGTCTGCTGCATCGTCCACAAATTCCCTTCTCTCCTTTACCCCTCACTGTAAAATAAAGCACTGATACTTCCCACAACTGAAAACCTCCCATGCTCGAAACTGCTCATTTAAAACCCTTCCTGGCAGGGTGCGGTGGCTCACGCCTGTAATCCCAGCACTTTGGGAGGCCAAGGCAGGCGGATCACCTGTGGTCCGGAGTTTGAGACCAGCCTGGCCAACATGGTGAAACCTCGTCTCTACTAAAAGTACAAAAATCAGCCGGGCATCGTGGCGAGCGCCTATAATCTCAGCTACTCAGGAAGCTGAGGCAGGAAAAGCTTGAACCCTGGCGCTGGAGGCTGCAGTCAGCCGAGATTGCGCCACTGAACTCCAGCCTGGGCGACAGAGCAAGACTCCGTCTCAAAAAACAAAAAACAAAAAACAAAACAAAACAAAACAAAACAAAACAAAACAAAAAAGACCACACACACACAAAACAAACACAAAATAAACAAACAAAAAACCCCTTCCTGTAGTCTTGAAACTGAAAGGGTGAAGTGTAAATAATCTTTCCCTATTACATCCAAATCACTTCTTTATTTCTTTGTAGGCTTCAAACGTTCTTTTTTTTTTTGTTTTTGAGACTGAGTCTCACTCTGTCACCAGGCTGGAGTGCAGTGACACGATCTCGGCTCACTGCAACCTCCACCTCCTGGGTTCAAGCAATTCTCCTGCCTCAGCCTCCCAAGTAGCTGGGATTACAGGCGTTTGTCGCCACGCCTAATTTTCTGTATTTCTAGTACAGACAGGGTTTCACTAAGGAGGCAAGACTGATTTTGGAACTCCTGGCCTCAAGTGATTCGCCCGCCTAGGCTTCCCAAAGTGCTGGGATTACAGGCGTGAGCCACTGAGCCCGACCTTCACTCTAATCACCACCATAATGGTGGTGGGTTTGAGAGTGAACATATCATCCGCGGACACTGGCTTAACAAGCCCATCTGAATAAAAAAAAATTATAACGCCAATGGCACTCGGTATCATGTAAGATCGCCCGAATTTTACAACTTGGGGTACATAGGAAACCAAAAACTCCCCACCACAAGAAAAACCAGTGGGGACAACTGGGGAGCAGAGATATCTGACTGGGGTCATTTTGTCCGCGCGTCTTTGGGGTAAAAAACCAGGACTAGGGGTCCAGAAGGGACACGCAGACCGCCTCTCCCCAGTCCCAGGAATGTCTCATTCCAATCCGGAAACCAAAACTTCGTTCCCTTCCCACCTGTATCCAGGGACGCCTCTGCTGAGGGACAGCGCTTGCCACCGCCGAGGCTGACGCGAGGGACAGGGGCACGGACCCGCTTCCACTCCGTCCGGGGAGGTCGTGGCGAGCGGATTGCAGGACACAGCCGTGCACGCCCAACTCTGTCCCCGCCCGGAGACGTCTGGGGTGCTGGGATAGAACCGGTTGTGACTTTGGGGACCAGGAGCGCTGGACTCAGATCTAGGTCCCCTGGACGTCAGACCCCAGGGAAAGCGTCACAAAAGCCGGAAGTGCGTCACACCCGCCTTCCGGAGCTGCGCTCCCCTTCGCGGTCCTCTCTAGGATCGCGGGAGGACTTAGCATTCCTGTGTAGGGCTCTAATCCCGGGTTTGGGGGTCGTGGTCCTCAGCTTGTCCGCTCTGAGGAGGTGCGCGGGGTGAGGAAAAAGGGACGAATTTCCTTTTATACCGCCCTGGTCAGATACTTATATATTCCTTCTATTTTTCTTAATGACAATAATTTTAATAGTTACAATAAAAATAGTGATTGTCTGTGGCAGAGGAGCTGAATGAAACGAGGGTGGAGACAGGATCAAGAATAAATGGCTTCACAAAACCAAGAGGTTGTCTCTTGAGATGCTGATTATGTATGTATTGCCAGTTGAATAGGTAGTATTTTCAAATATTTGATCTATAGGCAACAGACGTTCTTTCCAACACTAAATAGTTATAAAATTCTGAGTTTGCCTTACGTTTCCAGGGAGTTTTCAGATTAGCGACGGTGAAGAAATTTGAGGCGTTTTTGCTGTCAAAGTGTTATTGTAATAATTAAGGCTTCAATGATTGGATCAAGCATAACTTCACCTAACTGAAACCTTGAATGCTGTGACATGACTCTAAAAGTTTTGGGCAAGTCTGTGGTACAGCCCAACAACAGAAAAGCCCACAAAAGGAACTGCTACCTGCTACAGAGCCTCTGATTACGTGGTATCCCGAATTACCTTCTAGGCCCTGACTAATGCTCCATTCCTTTAGGGGTTTGATCTTGCTGTGGTTGCCATTTTCTACTTCCCCATGAGTCTTCTCAGTAATCCACTTGACTGTGTCTTTGCTCCATATATATATATATATTTTTTTCCTCCTACGGCACCGTCAAGTCCAATCTTTGCTCCTTTATCACTGGCTGGCCCTCTAACCTATAGTCCTCCTTGATGACATCATAGTCTCAGAACTTACTCCTCCAGATACATCCTCATATTTCCTTCCAGTGTTCCAAGTCATCTCTAAGAGCCATTACATTGCTACGCACTGTATTTTTCTTGTCTAAAACAGTCTCTCCTCCCCACCCCTGTCCCCATTCCTACACTGAAGTGCCTAAAGGATCCAGGAAGGCAGATTACTGAATGCAGCTGACTGGGTATATGATTTTGTATTTATGTTGTGTGTGTGGCAGGAATTGTGGGCATCTCTATAACAACTCCTTTCTTTGCCTACGGACCTGCTGGCACAAGAAACTCAAAGTGGCCTGGTGGTGTTCTGTTTTCAGTTCAGTGGAACAATTTAATGTCTCCTAAAGGAAATGTTCTTCCTGGAAATGAGCATCATAACCCAGCTGGCTCCAGATTTTAGAGCTAGGAGGCACAAATTCTACAGGTGAGTGGCTGGGTGTGATAGTAATAGAGGCTACTCCTGTATGCACGTAGTTCTACTGGAGACACAATACTATATATCCATTTTGGCCCAATGCATATCAGTGCATATACCATATCCTGAAGAAATGCTCCCAACTTTGCAAGGCATTACATCTTAGTCGGCAATTTAGCCCAGTCTTCAACAGGCCATTCCAAAGTCCTATCTGGCTAGCTGCTTCTGGATGATGAGTATGCACCATTAATTCTGTAGCTTCGAGTTCACTGTCACACCTCCTTGGTTATCAATGGGTTCCTTAGTTTCAGGTATGTCAATGGATAAAGCACCCTGTAAGCTCTCAGATGGTGGTACTGCTGGAGGCAAAGTAGTTGGGGAAGACAAGCTCATTTAGAGTATATATCATTTCTGGTAAGAACAAATTGATGCCCATTCCAAGGTAAAGGGGATCTGATGCACTCAACCTGGTGGTAGCTGGTATCCCCAAGACTGAGTGTTGGTCTCCAGTGCTGGCAGGCTGGACGCTCCACCATGGTGGGAGTTACATCAGCCTTGGTAAGAGGTAGCCCATATTGGCCGGGCACGGTGGCCCACGCCTGTAATCCCAGCACTTTGGGAGCCCAAGGTGGGTAGATCACAAGGTTAGGAGTTCAAGACCAGCCTGAGCAACATGGTGAAACCCCGTCTCAACTAAAAATACAAAAATTAGCTGGGCATGGTGGCATGCGCCTGTAGTCCCAGCTACTCGGGAGGCTGAGGCAGGAGAACTGCTTGAACCCAGCAGGCTGCAGTGAGCCGAGATCACACCACTGCACTCCAGCCTGGGCAACAGGGCGAGACTCCATCTCAAAAAAAAAAAGAAAAATGAAAAAATAAGAGGTAGCCCATATTGTTGGGACCACACACAGCCTCTATCCCTGCTACCATGGTCTCTGTTCATAAGCCTATTGCATAAACAATAAGATGGCCCCTAACCAACAAGCCAAGTCATTCATCACTGCCCAGGAGTCAATGCATATCCGTACCTTAGGCTACTTTCTCCAAAATATGGCATGGGTGACTAAATGTACCATTGCTCACTGAGGTAATTTCTCTTCACCAGTATGCTTCAGGGCACCTCAAGTGGGGCTGGAATGAAGGAACAGTCTGTTTCTGGAAGATGCCAACATGGTGAACTGACCCAATCTCCAATCTGTGAAGAGGCCAAGGCTCTTCTGTCTCCATCAGTTAGTTGTAGGGAATTTCTATAAGGCCATAGGTGTTAAGTTTATGGGAGAGGTGGCAGTAGAGCAGAGGTAAGTGACATGGGAGCTTGGAAACCTGTTTTTTTTGCCTTAGAAGGCATGACCTTGCTCCAGAATCTTAGGTATTTGTACTGTGATTTTTTTTTTTTTTTTTTTTTTTGAGACGGATTCTCGCTCTGTCGCCCAGACTGGAGTGCAGTGGCATGATCTCGGCTCACTGTAAGCACCGCCTCCCAGGTTCACGCCATCCTCCTGCCTCAGCCTCCCGAGTAGCTGGGACTACAGGCGCCCACCACCACGCCTGGCTGATTTTTTGTATTTTTAGTGGAGATGGGGTTTCACCGTGTTAGCCAGGATTGTCTCAATCTCCTGACCTCGTGATCCGCCCGCCTCGGGCTCCCGAAGTGCTGGGATCACAGGAGTAAGCCACTGCGCCCGGCCTGCTGTGACTCTGTTATGGGTTGAATTGTACCTCCACCTCATCCTCAATTAATATGTTGAAGTTCTAGCCTCTGATACCTCAGAATGTGATCTTATTTGGCAATAGGAGCGTTGCAGACGTAATTACTTAAGATGAGGTCATAGCGGATTAGGGTGGGTCCCTCATCTAATGACTGGTATCCTCATAAAAAAGGGAAGTTTGGACGTAGCAAGCAGGGAGAATGCCAAATGAAGATGAGGGTAAAGACTGGGTAAAGACAAGGAATGCAAAAGACATGCAGCAAACCCCCAGAAACTAGGAGAGAGGCATGGACAGATTGCTTCTCACAGCCTCAATAGGAACCACACCTTAATTTCTGACTTCTAGCCTCCAGACTGTGAACCAACAGATTTCTGTTGTTTAAGCCACCCAGTTTGTGGTACTTTGTTATGGGAGCCCTAGCACACAAATGTACTCTCCTATTGGGGTTTGCCAGCGACTGCATACAGCACCTGTATCCATCAAGGATATTTCTGGAACCAATGAATTTGCAAGTAAGCTTGTACTGTTGCTTGAATTTACTATAGAGCTCTCTCTTGCCTCAATAAAAAGTGGAAGCTGCCAGGCATAGTGGCTCATGCCTGTAATCCCAGCACTTTGGGAGGCTGAGGTGGGTGGATTGCTTGAGGTCAGGAGTTCAAGATCAGCCTGGCCAACATGGTGAAACTCCTCTTCTACTAAAATACAAAAATGCTGGGCGTGATGTCAGGCACCTGTAATCCCAGCTACTAAGGAGGCTGAGGCAGGAGAATTGCTTGAATCCAGAAAGTGGAGGTTGCAGTGAGCCGAGATCATAGCACTGTACTCCAGCCTGGGCTACAGAGCAAGCCTCTGTGTCAAGAAAAATAAATAAATAAATAAATAAATAAAAAAAAAGTAGAAGCCTTTTAGGTCACCTAATACATGTGTTGGAACAGTTTTCTCAGGTGCAGAATATGCTACCTCCCAAATCCAAAGGGTCCCACCAGGACCTGTACCAATTTCTTTGGGATTAGAGGGTGCAAAGTGGAACAAATTTTACCTTTGGGTGATGTCCCCAAACCACTGGACCCCACCAAAACTTCATCCATTTGGTAAGTGCCCATATCTTCAGGTTTCTGTACTGCCTTAGTAAGAAGTCTTACTAGGATATCTATGACCCTTGTCACTTGCTGCCCACTGGGTACTATTAGCATTTGTCATCAATATGTGAACCATCATGATGGTTAAGTTCCTGCAGACTACACTGTGACAGAGAACAGGTCTCAGGATCCCACCCTCTCCCTGTATGAGCCACGACTTTGACTCAGGGGACCTGCCGAGTATGCACAATTGGTCTCCTTTGCATCACTGTCACTGTTATAAACAGATCCTCGGCCTAATTTTCAGCTTCGCTAGATGCAGAATTACCTTAGTAATTTATAAAACAGCTATTGTATGTATCTAGGCCTATTTCTGGACTTTTTTCTTCTTTAAGAAATTCACCCTGATATTTTTGGACTTTCTGTTCTGCTCTATTGATCTATTTGTCTATCTTTATGCTGATACCATATCGTCTTGATTATTGTAGCTTTAGGAAAAAATCTTAACAGTATACAAGCATTCCAATTTTATTCTTTTTCAAAATTGTTTTGGCAATTCTAAATCCTTAGCACTTCTCTATAAACTTTAGAATCAGTTTGTTAATTTGCACTAAAAAAACAAAATAGGCTAGGTGCGGTGGCTCACACCTGTAATCCCAGCACTTTGGGAGGCCAAGGTGGGCGGATCACCTGAGGTCAGGAGTTTGAGACCAGCCTGGTGAAACCCATCTGTACTAAAAAAACAAAAATCAGCCGGGTGTGGTGCCACCCGCCTGTAATCCCAGCTACTCTGGAGGCTGAGGCAGGGAAATCGCTTGAACCCGGGAGCTAGAGGTTGCAGTGAGCTGAGATCACGCCACTGCACTCCAGCCTGGGCGACAAAGCAAGACTCTGTCTCAACAACAACAAAACAAAAAAGAAAAAAGATAACAACTTTCTGAGTTGTTGCCACCGGTGTCATCTGGCAAACTGTTAAAAGAAAATTTTGCTCAAAAGCAAAATAGTAGCTTCTGTTTCTTAGGACTCTTTGTTATGTTTCGATGAGTACTGGTGGGAAGTGGCCTCTTTTAAGTGGGTACCTTTTGTGGTCCTCTCACTGGAGCCAACAGCCCCAGTCAGCTAAAACTTGGACGCAGTGTGCCTCACTGCCATAGCTCACTCACCTCTGCTGCTGAAATGGTTTCCCATCACTTTGCTAATAGGTACAACCTGTGAAGGGTTCTGAGGTGGGGAAATGGCAACTCAGGAAATAACTCCAAACCTTTAGCTCTCCTAGCACATTAAAATAGCCGTTATGAAGAGGAGGAAGTACTGTGTCATCTATTGTCCTCGGGACCTGTCAATAGGAACAACAGCTAGACATCACCGGGGGTGTATTTCTATTCAACACAAGGAAAAGTTTCTAATTGGAGCCCTCCAGCATGAAATGGACTAAGCCGTGTATTTTCCTTCTCTGATCCTGACTCCACTGTGACGGGTACTGCAGATCAGAGAGACTGTGTCATAGTATGAATTTAGGTTAGGTCGATACTTAGGGGGAAAGAGGGCAAAGGAATATCAGAATCTCCAAGAAGCTGATACAATTTGAAAAAATATATAAAATGCCACACTTCAGGTTTTCTTGTATTTAATTTGAAATGTCAAGTAACATTAAAGAATAGCATTTGATTTGCTTAAACAAAGTAGTAATAGCTGAAGTTCCTTCCAAATCACTTTTTGGATTCTCTAAGACGCTTGCCTATGCCTCGCAGATTAGCTCCATCCACAAAACATATTCTTTAAGGATCCAGGATCAGCAAGGGGTCACAATGTCCTAAGAGTTTCTGTCCCGGCGCTCTACCTGTCCTGCCCGTGCACCATGCTTTTGCCTATCCCTGTTTCTGCACAGATTTTAGTCTTCCCACCAGGGGCGCAACTATCAGTCTCCTCAGTCTCTCTTGGTTCCATTCCAATCTGCTCATCTCCCCTCCCGTCCCCGCTTTCCCCAAGGACCTACTGAGATTTCGATCCCACGACTTAGTGGGTCCCATCTCACCCAGGCCCCACAATCCTCGCCTTCTACGAGTCAGCGTAGTACCACACTCTGAGCAGGCACCCCTGTGCTACTCACGGAAGCGGGACCATTAGGTCGGCCATTCCTCCTCACCCCACGACACGCACCCACAGGGTCGGGCCGCCTCCGAGTCTCAAGGGTGGGCTAGCGTCAGGGAGAGGCCCCGGGAGCGCTTTCCCAACATTGGTCGCAGTCATTGCTGGTATAACGGCTAGAGAAGCCCAGTGAGTTAGGATGGAGGGCGGTAGGACCGGAAAAAGACGTGGAAAAGCTGCGAAAACAAGCCTTTGAAGCCTGCACGCGCGGGCCCAGCTCTTCATCCGAGTTCCTCATCCGGGCCCTCACTCACATCCGGGGCCCTCACTCACATCCGGGACCCTCACTCACATCCGGGACCCTCACTCACATCCGGGACCCTCATCCTGGGCTTTTACCCACATCCGGGACCCTCATGCCGCGGCGGGGTGAGGGGGCCCTCATTCTGGGCCCTGCACTCCGTCGCCGGAAGTGCTACCGAGAAGCGCCGGCCTCCGGGGTGTCTAGAGCGGCCCGGGAGAAGCTGTGGTGGCCCGGAGCGCGGGTGTGTAGGTGACAGGACAGCTGCCAGGCCCGCCCCTCCCCTCGGTGAGTACCCGGAAGCCGTTCTGGGGTCGCAGTGGGGTAGCCGCTTGTTTCGTCTTCACGGGAGTAGAAGGAGGCGGCGTCCGTCCGCGGCGGACGGTGGTTTGCTTCCCCGAGAGTGCGCGGAGGCGCGGGTGCGAAGAGGGCCTGTTTTTCTTCAGCCCTGGTTCATTCACCTCGCGGACCTAGGGCCCCGCCGTCAGGAGCCGGCGACCGTGCCCTGGTGCGAGCTGGTCGGTATGGCCCCCCTGGTTCTTTTGGGACTTTGCCTTGGCCTAAAAGGGAAGTGGGAGGAGGGCAGCGCCGGGCAAGGCCTTCTGAGGACCGAGCTGGGAGCCCGGCGAGGGCCCAGGGCGAGGGTGGTGGGAGGGGGACGGCACCCTCATGCGTCCTTGGGCCTGAAGGACGCCGCTCAAACCTGTTCGAACCGCGGCTTTTCCCTGCGTTGCTCTCAGGATTGCGGGAAAAGGCCGGCCTAGCTGGTCTGGGTTAGCGAAGGGCCTGCCCCAGAAGTGGAGTTTTATTTGCCAAGCCCGTTTAGTAAATCAGAGTGGGCTGACGGTGTTACCAAGACATTCCTAAGGGGGCTGCTGTTTATTTATCTATTTAAATGAGTTTATTTACGTAAACGCGGGCCTGTCACGGTGGTTCACGCCTGTAATCCCCGCAGTTTGGGAGGCCGAGGTGGGAGGATTGCTTGAGGCCAGGAGTTCAAGTCCAACCTGGGCAACATAGGGAAACTCCCATCTCTACTAAAACAAAATTAAAATGAGTAATCATAACCAGCGTTTTTCTCTGGGCACCAACTTGAGCCTCCAAAGAAAATTGTAAATTTTAAATATTTTATTTGAGATGGGCTGTCATACAGGCTGGAGTGTAGTGGCGCAGTCATAGCTCACTGCAGCCTCTACCTCCCAAGCTCAAGCGATTCTCCTTCCTCGGCCTTTGCAGTAGCTGGAACTACGGCCTGGGCCACCACGCTTGGCTATTTATTTTTATTTTTTGTAGAGATGGGGTTTCACCGTGTTGTCCAGGACGGTCTGGAACTCCTGAGCTTAAGGGATCCACCCGTCTGGGCCTCCCAAAGTGTTGGGATTACAGGCTCGAGCCACCCCACGTGGCCAATTTTAAATATTTTAAACTTTCTACAGAAAGTTTTACACTATTGAATTGTACTGTGTTGATTTTTTTTAATGCTACGAATTCCAAATTAGAGACTCCTCCATACTTGGATCATATGATTTGGTTCTTAAGTATTTAAAGCTGAAGCATATCCATATTTCTTTTTCTTTCTTTCTCTTTTTTTTCTTTGAGACGGAGTCTCACTCTGTTACCTAGGTTGGAGTGCAGTGGCGAGATCTTGGCTCACGGCAACGTATGCCTTCTGGATTCAAGCAATTCTCCTGCCTCAGCCTCCCAAATAGCTGGGATTACAGACCAGTACCAGCATGCTGGCTCATTTTTGTGTTTTTAGTAGAGATGAAGTTGCACCATGTTGATCAGGCTGGTCTCAAACTCTTGACTTCAAGTGATTGTCCCGCCTCAGCCTCCCAAAGTGCTGGGATTACAGGCCACTGCACCTGGCCCCATTTTTCTGTAACTTTTTTTTTTTTTTTTTTTTGAGATGGAGTCTCGCTCTGTCACCCAGGCTGGAGTGCAGTGGCCGGATCTCAGCTCACTGCAAGCTCCGCCTCCTGGGTTTACGCCATTCTCCTGCCTCAGCCTTCTGAGTAGCTGGGACTACAGGTGCCCGCCACCACGCCCGGCTAGTTTTTTGTATTTTTTAGTAGAGACGGGTTTCGCTGTGTTAGCCAGGATGGTCTCGATCTCCTGACCTCGTGATCCGCCCGTCTCGGCCTCCCAAAGTGCTGGGATTACAGGCGTGAGCCACCGCGCCAGGCCTCTGTAACTTATTTAGAGTGGTTAATCATTATCAACTAATTTTTATTGAATATCCACAGTGTGTAAGATATTTTGCAAAGTCCTGATGATATAAAATGATGAAATGTTTTAACTTATTACAGTAATTTCTCTTAATCTCACCTTGCAGTGATGGTCATTGTCCTCCAGAGCAGTGATGGAGGAAATACCAGCCCAGGAAGCAGCAGGGTCACCAAGGGTCCAGTTTCAGTCTTTGGAGACCCAGTCTGAGTGTCTGTCCCCAGAGCCTCAGTTTGTGCAGGACACGGACATGGAACAGGGACTCGCTGGGGGTAAGGCAGAGACAGCACTTCTATCCGGGAGAATGGGGGTGTGGAGGGGCTCCGGAGGGGGCTCCTGGGACTGGTGTGAGAGAGGTCAAGAACTGGAATAAGAACGTGGTCCCTAGAGGGAGGAATGAAAGCAGGGGCAGGTGTGACTCAGTTCAGTCCTAGTCTGAGCCCTTTTATTAAGGACAGCTCATCTTTCTTAAATAAGCAGAGTGATGGCTATTTACTCGCTGTGGTTGTTTTTCCTTCAGGCAACCTTCACTTCATCCCAGTTCTCACATCCGGAATAATTTCTAAAATATGCTGCTTTTGCCACATCTCACAGTCCTTTCCTGGCTCTCACTTCCTCTTAGATTCAGGACCTTTCCTTCCCTGGTTCCCTTCACTTAGTTTTGCTTTGCTTTGTCACCTGCCATCCATTCTGTTGTAACTGCAGTTTTTTGTGACTAGACTAAATTTGGTAAAGGAAGCAACCATTTAATTCCTTGGTTGGACACAATGCCTGTATGAATGTATATATACTGTATTTTGACTATGCAGTCACACTTTTCTGTATCGGATAGGTAGGTTGGTCTTTTTCTTCCTTTGTTTTGTAAGAGCTGTGTCTTAGATTGCCTGTGGTTAACCCTAGTGCCTGAAATAACTTGTGTGTCACCCACACAGATCAAGTGGCACAATGTGTAGAGTGCTGTGGGGGATTGTGGGACTGTAGAAAAGATTTCGAGGAAACAGATGACCCTTTCTTGTTCTTGGGGGCCTTACACACTGGTTGAGACAGTGCCCATTCACAAGAGAAAGGCTTATCAAGTGTCTAGAACAGTGCCTGGAAAGGGTCAGAAGTCTGCTAAATAACCCTAGCCCAGGACAAGTCCCCACAAGTCTTTATGCTTTGCTTTGCCCATCTGCAAAACAGGTATAGTCTTACTCCTCTGTAAGAGGACTGTCATGTGATGAAAATAAAGTGAAATACAAGCTTTCCTAAGAAAATCCTGTATCACAGGTCTAAACTTGCATAAGGCATGCAAGTACTGAGACAAAGCAGAGTAGACACAACCCAATACCTAAAAAATGTTCATTGGTTTTACTAGAGTATTGAGGAGGGTCCTGCTGACACCCCTTGGGCTGGAGAGGCCTCCTCTGAAAGGGAGTCCTGGCTTAGGGCTGCTCTCACCCTTCACTCCTTTCTCCTCCCTCAGCTCCACCTGTTCCCCAGGTGCCTGCTCTTCCCTGTGAGGGAAGCCCAGGAGACCAGGCAGCTGCGCTCTTGACAGCCAGGTACCAGGTGAGCTGAGGAACCCTCTGCATTTCCTCAGGGACTATTGCTACTGATGGAGTGTGGCCTCTCACTCATCCCATCTGTAGACCTTGCCTGGAATTTTTTTCAATAGCAGAATCCAGTTTGGGAATTGATCCTCTTCAGAGACCTGGACTTCACATAAACCAACTTCCCATCTCCCCAGTACCATGAGCAAACTCTGTTTTTTCTTTGTTCATGGTTGTGTGACGGGTGCTTATTAGATGTTTAAGGGTTATGGGCTTTATTCCATAGGTTCTAATCTGTTCTCCCTCCTCCTCAACGTAAGTACATACCGGATACCCTCTCTGTGATCTTCATTCTCTGGCCATGATGCTACAGTGTTCTCATTCCCTCACTATGATCTTCATTCTCTGGCCATGGTACTACAGTGTTCTCATTCCTCAGAGCAGCCAGGATGTGTTATTTCAGGAGTTTGTGACATTCGAGGATGTGGCTGTGCACCTTACTCGAGAGGAATGGGGATACCTGGACCCTGTTCAGAGGGACCTCTACAGAGAAGTGATGTTAGAGAATTATGGGAACGTGGTCTCACTGGGTAAGGACTTCCTTATTATTTGGTTTATCTATTTGAATTTCTTTACTTTCTTGTTTCTTCACAAGTATAAGGTCTCTGAGAAGGTCTGTAGAGTGTGGCTTAGATTCCAGATCTTAGAACCTCTGAATCCTTATCTTTCATGTCATCTTCTCTGGGAGGGATAATTAAGGTTTGTTTGAGGGTGCCAAGAGGAGATATTCTCCTCATCCCCAGTTCATATTTCTGGCCATTGTGGGGCATCTGTTCCCTTTTAGCAAAGGGAAACTTTCTTGTGCTTTGCTTGATTTCTCACTCTTCTCTCTTCCATTTTTGTAGGAGAGACCCCAGGGTGGCCTCCCAACCTCCAACCGGACACTTTCCTCTTTGGTATCTCAGTGTCCCTGTATTGGAGAATTGGAGAATTTCCCATTTTTCCAGGAAAAAGAAATGCCGTTTAAAAAGACAGGCTAAATTCCTTCTTGCTGAGTAGTCCCTCACCCCTTAAGATCCCCAGATGTATCTCCAAGCAGGCAGAACTTGAGATGTCATTTGAAGGCATGACTCACTGTGAGTACATTTCAGTGAGTCACCCAGAATGGTAATCCAACGTAACCGCACCCAGGGCAGCAGAAATCTCAGACGTTTACCCCACGCTGAGGTGGGGTCAATGCTTAACTCATGTCTCTCCATTGTCATTTTGAAAGGTATAGTAGGAAGCGGGGATTAGGCAAGCTGTAGTGCCGCCGGGAAACATCAGTAGGGTTTGTCGGCAGCTCCCTTGGTGTGAGCATTGTTCCTTTCTCTTTAGTTTATTTTTTATATTATATTTTTAATTTTATTTTATTTTTAGACAGAGTTTCACTCTTGTTGCCCAGGCTGGAGTGCAATGGTGCAATCTCAGCTCACTGCAACCTCTGCCTCCCGGGTTCAAGCAATTCTCCTGCCTCAGCCTCCCAAGTAGCTGGGATTACAGGCGTGGGCCACCACGCCCGGCTAATTTTGTATTTTTAGAGGAGACGGAGTTTCACCATGCTGGTCAGGCTGATCTCGAACTCTTGACCTCAAGTGATCCACCCTCCTCGGCCTCCCAAAGTACTGGAATTACAGGCATGAGCCACTGCAGCCGGCCTCCTTTTTCTTTAGTTTCTTGCTTGCTTCTGCACTCTTCTTTTTGTGTGTGTAAATACTGAATCACGCGTTTTATTTTCTTTTTTTTCCCGTTGGCTTTGTCTATGCTGGTGGTATCCAGGGCATTGCTTTGTCTCCCGCTGAGTATGCTCAGAATTCAAGGTCTTCTTATCTGTGGGGAAGCAGCCTGCCCACTGGGACGGTTTTTAGTGTGTTTTCCATTCCCGGCTCTTTAATCTTTGTAGGCATACTTCTCCGCCTTCCCACCACCCGGATTCATAGTGTGAATTCCTGCCCGGCCCTGAGTCATACCCAGGCAAGTGCTTTCTCTGGAGAAACACTTGCCATCCTTACAGCAGGAATCTCCAAGAGATGGCCCAAGTATCGGCTTCCCATCGATATTGCTCGTCCCTGCTCGGAAACTCCTTTTCCACGATTGTGAGATATTAAACTTGACTGATGGAATAGAAGCTCCCCAGGATGCCACCACTGTGTAAAATCGCAGCTCCTCAAATTACCTCTGTTTAATTTCTAATGTTAGGGTCCAAGGAAGCCCTCTGTTGCAACCAGATGCAATTTGAACTCAGTTCATTCAGAAACCATGGTTTGTGGTCATCATCTACTTGTGTTGTGAGAAACCAGAAATTCCAACTTCAGCTCTTCAGTTATGGTCTTTTCGTATTATTTTAGAATGTGAAACTTACGCTGTGTGCCCCTCCTTTTATGTGGCAAACACAACCTGCCCCGTATTGTGCCTAACTCTCCTGTGAACCCTGGGCTTTCCTCATGTTTAACGTTCTGGTTTCCTCCTTCCTTGAAGTCCCTGTGGCCCTCTTCAAGGTCCTACCTTCTTCCCCTTTATTCTTTGTGGTTCTGTACAGATTGATGTGTTTATATTGCCTTTCCTGATTAAGTGTTCCTTACTCTGTCCTTGATGGAGGGGAGAAGGGAGGGCAAAGAAGTTAAATTTATTTCAGCACATCAAAATGAATATCTACTTAATAACTTTGTAAACTGTAAAGTGACATACATATAATTGTAAAGTACTGTTAATTTTGTCTAATAATTACAGAGTTTCCAACAGTTAACTTGTCTACTTTTTGAAGTAAAGAAACTTTGTAGCAGTTTAATGCAGTCTAATAGCATAGTATGCTATAGATTGAACTTTATCCCATTTCCTCTCTTATCTCTGCTCGCACACTCCACATGCATGCACACTTACACGTACAAGAGACATACACATGATGTAAGTAAGAGACCCTTCTACTCATCTTGCTTTTGTGATCAAGTTAGCAGCATCTCCTTAGCAGTTATTTTTACAATCATTGGGAAGTCATTTTCATATTTGTGGATTCAGCAAACTTCATCTGAATTTTAACTCATTTATGCCTAGAGTTCCATTATTGGAACACTAAGCTTGCGGGAATGATTTATATCTTGCTGCTCAAGGTCATCGCCAAGGTCTGATGTTTAACAAAAAAAATGTGCAACCTCTGGCACAACTGGGTTAAGTTTATACATTTATTAATTTAACTTTTTGGGGTTGTAAGACTTTTTTTTCTTTTTTTTTTTTGAGACGGAGTCTCGCTCTGTCGCCCATGCTGGAGTGCAGTGGCACTATCTCGGCTCACTGCAAGCTCCACCTCCTGGGTTCATGCCATTCTTCTGCCTCAGCCTCCCAAGTAGCTGGGACTACAGGCACTCGCCACCACGCCCAACTAATTTTTTTGTACTTTTAATAGAGATGGGGTTTCACCATGTTAGCCAGGATGGTCTCAATCTCCTGACCTCATGATCTGCCCGTGTCAGCCTCCCACAGTGCTGGGATTACAGTCGTGAGCCACCGCACCCAGCCAAGACTTTATGATTCAGTCCTGCTTTCCAGTTTACATCGTTTTCTCATGGCAGGAGCTCCAGATTGTATTTTGTTTTGTTTTGTTTTTGAGATGGAGTCTCACTGTGTCGCCCAGACTGGAATGCAGTGGTGTGATCTCGGCTCACTGCAAGCTCCGCCTCCCGGGTTCACACCATTCTCCTGCCTCAGCCTCCCGAGTGGCTGGGACTACAGGCGCCCACCACCATGCCCAGCTAATTTTTTGTTGTATTTTTAGTAAAGACGGAGTTCATCATCTTAGCCAGGATGGTCTCGATCTCCTGACCTGGTGATCTGCCTGCCTCGGCCTCCCAAAGTGCTGGAATTACAGGTGTTAGGCACTGCGCCCGGCCTCCAGATTGTATTTTTCACAGACATCAGGACGTTGGTCCTTTGCTTAAGTGCTTCCACTATGTAGCAGTAAATATACAGAGTACAAATAGCTGAGTAAAGAAGTCGGTAATAAGTAGTTTTCATTACCACATAATTTAAAAAGGAACATACTCCATTGATGATGAATGAACAATTTGCTTGTGGGTCACTATCCATAGGGAAGTTACCTGTTACTTAGTGTGGGAGATTAAGACTGGGAAAGGGGACCGGGTTGCTTTTCACATGGTCAGTGTGGCAGGTGCCCTATTAGATGCTGGCCTCAGAAACATGCTTGTTAAAATTCTAGTTGATACTAACTGGGTCAATAGATTGGGAATGTTTGGCACATACTCTCTGCTTTTTTAACTTGATGTCATGAAGGATTACAGTGATTTTGCACAGAATGTTTTCCATTGTCACAGCTATTTAATATTTATTGAACAGCCAGTATGTTATTGGGTGCTATAGATATGTGTGTGTGTACACACACACACACACACACACACACACACACACAGACATAGGACATTTATATGTGTGTGTGCATATATATATATAAAAAAATGGGATATATATATATAAAAATGAGATCTATATATCTCATTTAATCCTTACCATAACCCTGTGAGCAGATGATACCGCTCCATTTTATATCTGAGGAAACTGAGGCTCAGAGAAGTTAAGTGATCTTTGCAGGATCAGTGAGAGGATTGGGACCAGATCTGCCTCTGAAGCCCCTGCACTTTTTCACTACTTTGTGCCTTTAGGACAATAAGTTCAACTACACGTGAAGTTTTAAATATTTTTGGTGAGTTGTGTGTACTCTGATGACAAGAAAAATTCAAAATGCCATGACAAATTGGACAGACAGGCCAGTTTATAGTTTGGGACCAGAAGGACATGCACTCAAAAAGTAAAACTCTCTAGGGACACATTCCAGTCCAGCAGGTATCTACAAAATAATGATATTGCTATGGAGAGATATTATTTGTGTATTAAGGACCAGGAAGAAAAGCATGAAACTTTCAGATGGCTAAAAGCATAGCTGTAGTAAAAGCAGCAAACCATATAATATGGCAGATTTTAAATATTATTATTACTATTTTTGAGACAGGGTCTCCTCTTGTCTCCCAGGCTGGAATACAGTGGCAAAATAACAGCTCACTGCAGCCTGGACTTCCCCCCAGGCTCAGGTGATCCTCCTACCTCAGCCTTCTATGTAGTGGGGCATATAGGCCTGTACCACAGTGTAATTTTTTTCTATTTTTAGTAAAGAAGGTATTTAGCTGTTACCCAGGCTGTTGAACTCCTGGACTCAAGTGATCTGCCTGCCTCAGCTCCCCAAAGTCCTGGGATTACACATGTGAGCCAACACCACGCTCGGCTTTAACTGTTATTTTTGAAGACCAGATTAAAATAAATTTTATTAGAAAACTC